ACTCAATATCTGGTAAGGGGTTGTGTTGGGACTGGAACCTGGGTCAGGCTGACTCAGACATCTACACCCCCAGCCCCAGTCCACCCCCTGCCCCCACCAGGTGGTTGTGACTCAAGTTTGCAGAAAGAGGAAGAGGAGATGGGGGTAACCGAGCGTTAAGGGGAATCCATGGCCTCTGCTCTCTCACAAGTTTAAGTGTGTTGTCACAGCTGCCCATGGTGTGGTTATGGCTGGCTAGTGGGTCTATGAGTCGCTTGATACGCCAGCTCGACAAGGCCTTGTGGGAATTGGTGGCCTCTGCCGTGGCAGCTGAGTTTCCACCTCGTGCCTCCACCTGGTCACCGCTGCCCCTTGGGCTCAATCCTGGTGCAAGAATCCAAGTCTTCTCTGACTCTTCTCTAACCTGCTGTGTGATTTCAGGCCAGGCTACGACTTCTCTGGTATTGGAGGATTGGGCCCTGCCTAGGATTAGGCCTGTGAGTTAGTGGACCCAGAATTTGGAGGGCTCTGAGGTGAAGACAGAGCATGCGCTGTAGAGGTCCAGGCCTCCCAGGGAGGTATTTAATGAGAGGGGTAGCCTCTCGCCATAAGCTAGGACAAGCCAGGGCATACCCAGTGCAGCAGCCGGTGGCTCATCCTTCTTCCCCAACCTGCACACCCTGAGCAGCAGGGCCAGCCCCCTGGCCCATCTGCATATGGGGGGCACACATTCCAGACCTCGGCCCTGAATTCCCCCATCAGCAGGAACCTAGACTCCTGAGATGCAGCCTGGAAGGGAGGTCAAATGGCACAGTCCTTAACATGTGTCCACTGGTTCACTAAATTTGGCTGTGCACCCACAGTGTGCCACACCCTGATCTGGGTTCTGGGGGTTCCACCATAAACGTGATAGGCAGAAACTCCTGTCCTCACAGAGGAGGGAACAGAGAAATCTCCATGTAGTGTAAAGTCAGGTGGTGACCAAGGCTGCAAAGTGCACTGAGCAGGAGGGATGGAGGGGGCTGTAGGCAGAAGGACAGTCTTGGTGGTCACTGCTCCGGAGATGAAGGGGAAGGAATGGGAGAGGCCTGTGTGGATATCTGGGGAAGGACATTCCGGGGGAGGGAACAGTGTAGGGGAGACCCAGTGTAGGTGTTGGGGAGAGGGGCAAGCTCTTCTAGCCATGGGAGAGGTGATGAATTTGATTATAAATGTGATGCAAAGTCCTTTGAGGGTTTGGTAGAAGGTGACACGATCTCTTTTGATCTTTCTGCCAATACCCTGCCAGCAAGGGCAGAAAGACTCCCAAAGTGCAGTGAGAAGCTGAGGCTCTGGACTAGGTTCCTGAATATGCTCTTCGACCTCCCCCCCTCCTTCCATACAAGTTCATTGCTACCCAACCTTTTGTTAACCAGGGTATACCATGATTGTATATAATCTTATATATAATCATAAGTATACCATGACTTCCTCTAGGGATGTCTGTCTTATCGCCCATCCTTTTTTCAACAAATATACTGAGGCCCTCTTTCATTATTATTATTAAATTTATTTATTTATTTTCTTATATCATTGTTCATTTTTATGCAGTATTTGATTTCTCTTCTCAGGTTTAATTCCTATAGTTCTCCCCCCACCCCATCACCCAGGGACCATCACCATAATCTCTTCTGCTCTTCCCTACCCTGTTTTGACACCCTCCCTTGCTGTGTGCCTCAGATCTATGGTCAGTTTGCAAGTTTTCTTTCTCCTGACCCTTTGTTTGGTTTTTCTATATTCCACGTGTAAGTGAAATCATCCAATATTTATCTTCTTCCTTCTGATATATTTTGCTTAACATAATCCCTTTCATCTCCATCCGTGTTGTTGCAAATGGCGTGAGTTTATCTTTTCGATCATTGAGTAGTATTCCATTGTGTAGATATACCACAGCGTCTTGATCCAGTCATCTCTTTTCGGGCATTTGAGTTGTTCCCATATCTCGGCTATTGTAAATAGTGCTGCAATAAACACAGGAGTGCAGGTTTCCTTTTGAATTAGTTTTTCTGTGTTCTTTGGGTAGATTCCTAGTAGTTGAATTGCTGGGTCATATTGTAGATCCATTTTTAGTGTTTTGAGGAATCTCCACACAGTTTTTCCTTAGTGGCTGGACCAGTTTGCATTTCCACTAGCAGTGTAAGAGGGTTCCTTTTTCTCCACAGATTTGTCAACATTTGTGTTTCTAGTTCTTTTAATCTGGGCCATTCTCACAGAATGTGATGTGGTATCTCATTGTGGTTTTGATTTGCATTTCTCAGGGCCTCTTTTTTTGTGGTCCCTGATAGGCAGTCTGCAGCCTCAAGATATAGATAAATATCCCTTTCCCAGCCACCCGCTGCCAGAAACTCATTGATGTGGACGATGAATGCAAACTTCGTACCTTTTATGAAAAACATATGACCACAGATGTCACAGCTGATGCTCTGGGCCCGAATCAGTGGTGGCAGCGACAGACACGGCAGATATCTTGACCAATGCTCTGGTTTGCCTACTGCTGACTAAAGAGCATTCCTGTTACAAACAAAGGGAGATGGGGAAAGAAAATGCAAATCTGGGCCTCCCTGGTGGCGCAAGCAATTAAACACAGCACTGTGAAGCTATCCGCAGCCTCTGCAGCACAAGTTTGATCCCCGGCCCGCCAGGGAGCAACCCACATGACACAGCAGACCTCTCCTGTCTTGCCTGCTGCTCCCCTCAGCAGTGTATTTCAGTCAGTCTGCCTGTTCTGTTCCCCACTCTGTCTCTGGTGAATCCTCTCACTGCCCCGCCCCCCGAACCCCGCACCTCTGGCCTATACCCCAGTTCTTGTGTGCATAAATAAATAAATCTTAAAAAAAAAAAAGAAAATACAAATCTGTTCAGGGTTACACTGTGGATGCCAGTCTGAGTGTTCTCAATTTAGCCATTGTGAAGACCAGGAGAAGGATCTTCCTGAACTCACTGATACAACTATGCCTCCTCGCCTGGGGCCCCAAAAGCTAGCAGAACCGGAACAATTTTCACACTTTCTGGAGAAGACGACCTCTGCCATTATGTTGTGGGAGGGCCCCTAAATCAAAGCAGGTAAGAACCCCAGCACGAAAGCACCCAAGACTCAGCACCTTTTACTCCCTGTGTTCAGGACCCAGATTTAAGTATAATGCTCCGAAGAAACAGCGTACTATGGAAAACAAGGAGAAGGCCACAGAGTAGACTAAGATTTTGGCCAAGAGAATGAAGGAGGTCAAAGAAAAATGCCAGGAACAGATTATCAAGAGTTGGAGGCTCCTTGTTTGTTTGTTTGTTTGTTTTTCTGAGATCTTCTACTGGTCTAAGACCCCTCGAAAACAAGATTTTCTAGAAGTAACAAATAAATAAGATCAAACATGAAAAAAAGAAAGAAAGAAACAAAGAAAAACATACTCAGAACCACTCCAGTCAGGACATAAAGTAAGGGAAGGAACTGCCCACATGCAAGTTAGAGGTGAGTGTGGACGGGCCGCCCAAGGCACCCCGGATGTTGGTGGCGTTGCTGTGCAAGATGGTGGGGAGCAGTGCCAACAGATAATTCTGGAGAGGGCAACCCTCCTCCTCTCTGGAGAGCCGTTTTTTGATCTACTCACCGGGTGGGTGGTCACAAGGAAGCCATGAAGCCAGGATTAGGAAGGGGCCCTGAGCAGCTTCGGGCGGTGGGGCAGGTCCCAGCCGGTCGACCTGTCCCTCCTGACATTGTCTGAGTGTGTGGGTGGCTGTAGCCAGTAGCCCAGATGAAGAGAAGGGAGCTGCAATTTTGTTCTCATCTTTTTGCTCACTACCTCTCAGATAAACACATTTATAAACATTAATAACAATATTTGCTTTATGTCCTCAACTTGTATTTACACTGGGTTAAAGAAAGCAATGGGGAGAAGGTAAGGAGGGAGGAAATTAGGAAAGGAGAAAGAGACAGAAGAAAAAAGGATTTTTTTTCTTTTTTCTGGATTGAACGACCCCCACTTTAGCATTCTCTCACTTCCTGGAGTCACTGGCCTCTTGGCCTTTTAACTGTTGTGTCTGTGTCAATCTCTTCCACAGATTGGCAGCCCCGGAGACAGTTCTGCTTCATCCCTGGTCCCCAGGAACACACTAGGGACTAGGAAAAAATGACAATTACATGAATGAGCAGAGGTGAGTGGGAGGAGAAGGTGGCAGGGAGAACCGGTTGGCAGGTGTGTTCATGGTCTCTGGATTGACTGGTGGAGCCTGCCAGTCCACCCTGCCAGCCCTGATCTGGGCCCCTTCCAGTGCCAAGGCCAGCCCTCTTGACATTATTCCAACAACACTGGGTTATGAGTTACGAGTACCTATTAGATCCTTTACTAAGTGCTTTCCAGCCATCATCTCAATACCACAGAGCAGGTATTATTGGCCCCATGATACAGGTAAGGAAGCTCAAAGCTTAGAGAGAAGCAGTGACTTGTTCAAGGTTATTCAGAAAGGAAGGACTGATGTTGCCCCTAAAAAGGACCAAATTATGGACATGTCAATGCAAAACAGAGAGCATCCAAATGTGAAGACTGGAGAATTCAAGCAATTTCCCCAGCATATTAGAAAATCCCATTCTCCTCCCCCTTCCAAAAAGTGCTGGATTCTTTCAGGGCTTCAAATTTTTCATCTGTGAGAAGGACCAATTGCCCCACCTGAACTCCTCCTTGCTGTGTGTGGGAACAACTTGGGCAGAGCACAGCCCTGTGAACATGATGGCTGCTCCTGATTCTCATTCAGATTTGTGGATCCTGGAAGCATCTCTGTATGATCTTGTACAGTCCCATGTGTGTACATAGCTCTTTCATATCTTGAGCAAACTTGACCTCCCAGCCACCATGTGAAGAAGACAGGAATTATTGCTACCCTGTCCACTTCATAGTTGCAGAAACAGGCTCAGAGAGGCAGAGTGATGTGCCTTGGTTCACACGGCTGCTGAGGGCGGCTTGTACCCAGTGGTTTTGCACACAGCAATCCAGTTCTCTGTGGTTTCGCGCACAGCACTATCACACTGTCACATCAGCTCTTTCTCATCTTCTCCACCCACTCGGTTGTCTGGACTCTTCTGGAGTCCTCCAGGCTGCAGGATCTCAACTCAAGTCCACCTGTTTTTCTTCTGGATAGGAAGGAAGAGAATCAGAGAGGAAAGTGGAGGGCAGAGCTTCAAGCAACCTGGGCACCTTCCCACAACACCATTTTGTGACTGTGGCAAAGGCCTCAGTGTTGGGGCTCTAAAACTGTGGGGTCCTCAAAAAAGTTGAAACTGCTTCTTGACTGGGCCTCCCCGGTGGCGCAGCGGTTGAGCGCTGGGTTGCGAAGCTGCCCGCAGCCTCTGCGGTGCCGGTTCGATCCCCGGCTGCTCCCGGGCCACTGGAGGAGGGTCCCACATCGTGCGCAGACCTCTCCTGCCGCCCGCTGCTCCCCTCAGCAGTGTACTTCAGTCCTTCTGCCTGCTCTGCTCCCCGCTCTGGCTCTGGTGAATTCTCTCACCCTCCCGCGCTTCTGACTGTACCCAGTGCATGCATAAACAAAATGAACAAACAAATAAATAAAATAAAATAAAAACATGCCTCTATAAAAAAAAAAAAAGAAAGAAACTGCTTCTTGACTGAGGAGTTAGGATTTGAACCCTGACTTTCTGACTGCCAAGCTCATGCCCTTGGCTTTGGAGGGGACCACACACTTAGAGAGCTGACTGTCATCTCAGCCTGTTTGGAGTTGTAGTACAAAATGATCAGCTGATGCTTACAGCAGAGTGTGATGTAAGTCAGGAGTGAGTGGGGTAGAGGGATGTCCTCAGCATGGTGACAGGTCTTCTATTTCTGCCTCTTTGTATCAAAGACAGCAGCATTTTGGGAATATAAACGGAAAATGATTTGCTAAACATAAAATGTGGTGGTGGGGGCACCAAGTGAATAAAACTAAGGTTTGAGCATGACTTCAACAAATGCTTATTCAGAGCTGAATCAATATCTAAAAGGAATGCAGGAGCATCAGAATGGGGGGAACACTGCCGCAGCTAGGAGTCTATCACATTCCTCTATTAATGACGAATGAAAGCCCAGCTGGTAATCCATCTTGTGCCTGACTTAATAAAGCAGGGATGGTAAAGGTATCAGGTAGGGTTCTTTGGTTGCAAGCAACAGAAATGGATTCTGGTTAAGTGCTGAAAGAAGAGGATGGAAATTTAGTGGAATGGAATTTAAATTTGGTGGAGGGAAATGGACCAGCTCAGATAATAAAGACAAGCCTTAGAAAGGACACAACTTGCGGTAGCTCCAGGATCTCAGAAGCCAGAATTAATGGGCATGCTTTTGAGGACAATGCTGCTGTGAGGTGGTCCATGAGGGGAGGACAGAATCTGGACAGTTAATCCAGTGGAGGACTTCCCAAGTGCTAGGACGTTGACCAGTAGCATCCAAATCCCCAGGGGTCTCATCTGCAGCCAGCACTGAATAATCAACTTTGCCAAGATAAACTTCAAATTCCACCTTTGGCTCTGAGAACCCAATATAGTTTGGGGACACCTGGTCTTGCAGTAACCTGTAGACAAGACTCTAGTCTTGCTTTTCTAGGGTCTCTATAAGGAATCTGCAGATACATTTGCACAAGGGCTGTAGACTCATATATAATGAAGGCTGTAGACTCATATATATATAACTCATATATAATTATGTGTAGCATTTTTTCTGGAAAAAGAATGCAAGCAATAATGACCACCATTTATTGGCGGACTGGTTATACACATGAAGCCATTTTGAATGAGGCAGTTCTTGTTAGGGTCTCGTGGAAAAATCGCCAAGAGTTATACTATACATGAAAGAACACCAAGCAGATACAGATACAGATATAGACATAGAGTTTCCATTTATGTGTCTATGGGGTGGGGGGAGAAAAGGGAGGTTGCTTCTAGTGAGAGTCACTGCAGATCTGGAGGGACAGCAGGAAGGAGACCTATTTTTCACTGCATGTCCCGGAACTCTGAATTTGGGACTCTGAAGCATGCACTCTGAACTTTTTTTCTGAGTATGTATTTTTAAAAAGATTTGTTTTACTTATAAAAGAACTGCGGTACAGGCCAGAGGCACAGGAGCGTTAGAGAATTCACCAGAGACAGAGCGGGGAGCAGAACATGCAGACGGTCCAAAAACACTGCTGAGGGGAGCAGCAGGCGAGACAGGAGAGGTCTGCCACGCCATGTGGGTAGCTCCCTGGCTGGCCGGGATCGAACCTGTGCTGCAGAGGCTGTGGACAGCTTCACAGTGCTGCGCTCAACCCGTTGTGCCACCAGGGAGGCCCTCTGTGCATGTATTTTTAAAACACTTTTACTTTGGAATGGTTTCAGGCTTACAGAAAATTTTCAAATATAGTGCAGTTCCCCTATGCCCTTCACACAGCTTCCTCTAGTTATCGTAACTTATGTTATCCACTTGCCAAAACTAAGAACTTAGAGTTGGTACAATACCACTGAAATTACTCAAATTTCACCAATTTTCCCACTAATCTCCCTTTTCTGTCAGAGCCCATCCAAGACATTGCTTTGAACTGTCTTGTTTTCTTAGTCTCCTCTAGCCAGTGACAATTTCTTAGTTTTTTCTCTTGTGTTTTATGAACTTTATAATTTTTTAAGAGTATGATCAGATATTTGTAGGATATTTTTAAGGATATTTACTAAATGCAAAAAGAAATGAAGAGACAAGGAGAGAACAAAAGAGGAAGAAAATGAAAGAGTGAAGGATGAAAGAAAGAAAGACTTTGGGGTTTCTCTCAATAGAGCACTTTACTTGGGACAACCGTGCCTCTGAGCTTCCAGAAAGCTTCAATGACAATAACCTGAACCAAAAGCTCTCATCCCCTTCTTCCAGGGTTGGTCTGAGTGGGAGGTGTCAAAGATTTTTGTACTGGTGACAAAGAGGACTCCAGCAGCTCCAGAATTCCACGATCCTTGACGCCTGCACTCTTAGTAGAGTGGGTCATTTTCCCGACAGTTTTAAGTAAACTCCTGGTGAAAACTTTTGGATTGGGCTTTAGTCACATGCCCATCCCTGAACCAATCATGATGGCCAGGGAGATGCCACATTCTCATTGGCCAGCCTCGGATAGGCCCACCCTTGAACCACCTGAGAGCAAGGTATTGCTGCAGGGCAGCTTAAACATTGTCCCTGGCATTGTCCAGTCACTCTCCTCTCTGCATCCTGCAGCCCTGCTGAACTTGTGATATGGGTCTATGATTTCCCTCTTCCTGGCCTTCGCTCAGTCTGTCCCTCTCCCTGCCCTGCTGTTTCCCCTCTCTGCATAGCCAATCATTAGCCACACTTAAAGACCCAGCTCCAGTGCTATTCTTTGGGGCAGACTTTGTTGTAGTTTTCAGTGATTACATTTCAATTCTCAACCCACCCTAAAGTCTTGTGAAGATGGAGTATGGCCAACTTTGTCCATAAATTCTTTGAAAAAGTGTAGTGCCTTTCTGAGAACAGAGAGAGGTATTTCTGAGAAAGGGGTTCTCCAAGGGAGGACACAGCAGAGCAGCCTGGGGACACGCCAGTCTCTGATGCCCACCGACGCCAGTCTCTGAAAAGTTCTGCCCTGCAGCTTGTCAGCTGGGCCCCCAGTTATTGCCGCTCACTGTACCTCACTTTGCTCACCTGTAAAATGACCATAACAAGCCTACCAGTCTCAAAGGGAAACTGTTTACTGAAATAATGCATGAAAGATGATAGATCCATGTAGATTCAACAAAACATTGTAAAAGTGGTCTATTTTGTTTGGGCTCTTCACCAATAGAGGAGAAATAGCCTGAAGGTCAACAGTCAATAAGGAACAGAATGTGTGTAAGATTAGAAATGCTATTTAAGAGGATGCTATGTTTTATTGTTATACACAATCCCCTAGAGAGGAACTGATGAAAGTCACTGAAATTTGTTTATGAGGTGTGATCATTATAGGACATGCAAGAATTCGGGATAAGACCCAAAAGTAGACATGCAGAGAATAAAAAGTTTATTTACAAGGGGAGTGAGTAGAGGGAGAACAGAGAGAAAGAAGATTAATCAATTGTTCAACAAGTCCTGCCAGCAACATTGTTTGAGTTAAGACACCAGGGTGCAAGTGGAAGCCAGAAAAATAAGAGAGAGGGAGGATACATGTGTTCAGTTACAAGCCACTTAACTCCACCCCTAGTTCCAAGCAGTCCCCCACCCCCTTTCAGGAAATCAGCTTCATGCAGCTTAACATTGCTAAAGATCCGGTCAATTGAAAGAAGAAAAAAATGTTTTTTCCTTGAGTCAAAAAACAAAACAAAACAAAACAAAGAAAGTGTCATTTCAAACAAAAACATTAAAATTATATTAATCTCCAATAGTCCATTCAGTCCTGTATAGAAAATTTGCCTTCTTGAGTTCTGTCAATTAGCACAGGTCTTTCTCCTGTTAATTTCTCCAGAAATGATTTCTGAAATATCAATAGTTTGAAATAACCAAAAGTAGAAATCTGACAATAACATCATAAAACAAAGAAATTTGTTCAACATTATAACTTACAATATTTCAGAGCAACAATAAAAGTTGACAAGACACTTAAAAGGTTTCATATAAATTTTGAAACACCAGAGCTTATATTTATGTATATGACAAGGTTAGGTATTTCTCCCAAGTGACAGCGCTACCCATTAAGTTCCAATTTAGCCATAAATACTGAAAAGATCAAATTTATCTAATGTCTTTCCCCCGAGGAAAGGGAGAAATATGGAGTGTCTTCGGAACTCTACTGAGGTTCCATAAAATTCCCTCTGATCAATTAAAAGTCTGCCAATTTTCCTTCATTTAGATTTCTGGGAAGCTTTGTTGTAAGTATTAGAAAAAAATGTTTTAAATTACAATCATAGTTCTGGCTAAACTCACCAGCACAATGCTGACAGTCAAACTTTAGTCACTTATCTTTGATTCTCTAACTGGAGTTTTTAACCTTTTGTTAAAAAATTTTAGTTTCCCAATTCCCATTTTACCTGGTGTTTAAAGCAATATCACAATTTTATAGATGTGTGTTTCAAACCAACCTATTAAATCCCAAATTAGTTCACATTAATAAAAAATTATCTCAGACTGCCCACACTTCCTGAAAGCACTTGTACCAGGTCCCATTACATCTCTGTAGGGTAAGGTAAAAAGTATCAGGCTTTTCTGCCCTCCCGCCATCAGGATAGATGACGGAACCCTGTGGTCCTGAATGCATGCCTGATGACGGGCACCTGGAGTAGGGTGTGGGCATAGGTAGATGGGATTCACCTGGGCTAAGACTGGGCTTTTTAAGGGTGGCATCACGGGGACGCCAGTAGAAGTCAAAAGAGAAGCTGAGAAAGAAGCAGCAGAAGCCGAGAGAGAAGCAGAGAGAACGTCAGAGAGCCCAGATAGAGTGAAGATTGCTGGGGGCTGGGAGGCTGGCAGCCTCCCGGCCCCCCAGCACCCTTGCCTGCTGTGTACCAGGTAAATCCCAATAAAAGACCTGCAAAAGCCACTAAGGGCTCTGACACCTCCTTTACCCGGTCTGCTAGATCATAGAAAACCTGCTCAGTGGTCCTTCCTGCCCATATAATCTCTGAGCTCAAAATTTTGAGAGTTGACATCTGTGCCAATTTTACATCTTTACAATCTTAGACTCAAAGGGGGAAGATTTACAGACATGCTACATATAGACACAGAGAGCTCCCTCTATTTTCACTCAACCCAGTGGAATATCTTAAATAACTTCAGTTTTACTCGTATTCAGAGAGACACAAAACCACTTCTTTGCTTCCTTACAAAAACGCACTCTTAACCACTACCTGGTGGAAAGGTGCTTCTACTCACATTGAAGTGGCCAGGTTGTTTTGTTCCCCTTAATTAACCACACATACACCTAAAAAAAAAAGTCTGCAAAGACATAAAGGGAAAATAAAAAACCCTCACAAAAATCAAAGTTGTAAAAATCAAAAGTTAAAAAAGCAAAATCAAAACTGAGTTCTTTCCATGGAGTCAAAACCAAATCACTAAAACTGGGGAGTGTTGTCATGTGATTCCAGATGCTGCCTACATACCTTAGACTTTGGAAAGAGAAAAATTGTTTCATTAGCGCGGTTATCACAGGAGTCTCATGGCCTTAATCACGATCTCAGGGTTTCCAGTGTTCACTGGGTAGTTAATCCTGGGGTATCCTGCAGCAGTAGCTGAAAGAAAAACAGGTAGCATTCATGTTTTTGTCTTTCTCTTCTACAAATATCTCAGGTCTTTAATAGGTTCATAAGACCAATGGGTTTTGGTCTCCAAGTCATTGCCTTCTAGAGCTTTCTTCACTCTAGAGTGATATACCAAGGGTTCTAAAGAAGTGTCGGTGGTTAGCAAAACCTGATAAGGACCAGACCATTTCTCTGACAGTTGAGTTCAGGCCTCTCCACTCTGCAAGTAAGACCTGATCACCAAGGGTGAAAGGATGCAGTGCTTCATCCGGAGGCCTGGAGATCCTGGAGAGCATGGTTATGAGTGACGGCTAAAATTTCCTGGATATGTTATTTGTGCTGTTTGAGTCTACATTCTTGTCCTATGTCTGGAGCAGTGTTCACAATTGCAGCATGTTACTATTTCTCTTTTGTTTTTGCTTAAATTTTACTGCAGGAAAATAAAATGTAGTATATGGGGGAAAAGTAAAGGATGAATGGATTAAGAAGGAAAGATATATGCTAAGTTATGTTTGTGTTGGAAGAAAATACATACACTAAGTGCAAAGGTAATTAACTTTTAAACCCTTTCCGTTCAATCACAAATCCTGACGCTTTGTCGTGTCCTCTTTGACTACAGCTTAGGTGAGATTAGCTAGCTGCTTCTGCACAATACTGAAGAGGATAGAGCATCATACACTATCACCGTGTAGTAAAAGCAATAGTAAATTCTGGAGCCTGAGAATTGAACTTCTTTTCTGTAGTTACCTCCTGTATTAGATCTTGGGCAAGTGTTGGCTGGAGCTGCCAGGGAATTCCTCTGATGGCAAAAGGTGGAGTCTGCAGCTTGGGCAAGTCCCCTGTGGCATCCACCAAGGTCTAGTGCACTGAGAGTGGAATTCCTGAGCACAAGGCAAAACTGACAGGGTTTCATGACAGATCACACATACAAGGTTACTCCTTCTTGCAATGAGAACACTAATTCTTCCGTAATGGTTTGTTCCTCAGACTTCCTCTCCATGTTCCTTCTCTGTTCCTCCTAAATCCTGTCCTGTCGTCTTCCTCTATGAAAATGGCTGCAGGTCTAGGCCTCCTGTCTTCTCTTGCATTGTATACCCTAAAGGCTATATCCTCCAATTGGGAAGGACTCATCTCTACACCACCTTCTAGCTTGGTTAATGTTCCTCCTTATATCTGGAGAACTCTGCTCAATAAACATCATGTTACTCATCTGAGAATTTTCTGTAGCACCTGGATTAACATTGCTATAAGAGCTATCTATGTTTGGGGAATCTTTTCAAGAAACTCAAACACATCCCCACTGACCTTTTGCTGAAGTGTCAGTATCTTACCAAAACTCTTTTGATTAGGCATTCTCTGCCTCAGCCCTGCTAACAAGCACCTCTTGTAGTGATCTAGCCTTTCCATTCCCCCATTATTGGGGTTAGGGTCTACCTTTGGGATTGCCTCTTCCAGTTCTGGGCCTTCTGGACTTTCCTGGTTCAGATGACGAGCCTCCTCACCTTTCCTAAAATCATTCTCTTCTCATCCAACGTCAATGGTACATGTTACTTTGATTGTATACCACCAGGCAGGCTATAGGGAAACAAAATAGAAGCAAACAAATAGCTACTGTTTTAGGTTCCTGCCTGCTTGGAGGGACAAAATAACTCCAATTCAGGAGGTCTTCAATTGAAAAGGGGTTGTATGACCAATAGTATCCAGCAGGATAACCTTGTTATTCAATCCACTCATTGGGAATTGGTGAAGAGGGAACTGTCCTACTTCTGGTAGCTCCTTTGACAAAATTGGGTGCCCCACCTGGTATGAGAAGGAGAGCCCTTCTGGTTCTTTCCTAGGAGTCTCTTCAGCCTCCCCTTGAGGGGCATCAGTCTCTTGAAAGGGATTCTTTTCTAGTGGATTCAAAGTTCCCCGTAAGTGATATTCCTTCTCTTTGTGCTCTTCCAATGTAAGGGGAATGTAAGGGGAAGGCTACTCCCCTTTTTTTTTTTTTGTGCTATCACGGGCCTCTGCCTTTTCTAAATCTAACTTATGGAGGGACTAAAATTATGAAATTCCTCCAACTGACAACTGAGCTTGTCCCAGTCAGAATTTGTCCAAGTTGACTCTCAACTAGAGTAGAAAGCGCATCTCCTCTTGAGCCAAAAAAACACTGCAGAAAACACTAATACATATCACTGAGAATTCCCCCAACCCACCCCTTCCAAAGACAAAAACCCTAGGTAAGAGGTTGAAACTGAACCCCATACCTATGCCCATAGGACCTCCCATAAGAACAGAATTATATTCCATACACAAGACTGTATCATACCAAAAAACCTTGACGACAGAAAAATTCTGTCACTACATAATGTATTTACAGTAACCAGCACAGGGAAAGATCCTTTGAGCTGGCCAGCCACTGTGTGATGGCCCCACATCGGGTGTCAAGCTGTTTGAGGGCAGACCCAGGGGGCAAATGGGGTGATCTGGGTGTGAGTCCTCATATGCACTTAAGTAATTGGGAGGAGATCCAAAAGCAGACATGCAGAGAGAAATTTTTAAAAAGGGTTTATTTACAAGGAGAATGAGGAGAGAGAGAGAGGCAGAGACAGAGACAGAGAGACAGAGAGGTAAATTGGTTGACAAGTCCTATCAACAACACAGTCTCAGCTGAGACACTAAGATACAAGTTGAAGCTGGAAAAACAAGAGACAGTGAGGATGCATGTGTTCAGTCATAAACCAAGTATGGCTGCTTAACTCCTCTCCTGTCACCAGTAACCCTTTCAGGAAGTCGGGTTCATGACATACTGAGGTTGTAATTCTTGGTGCCTGAGATTTCTTTGGTGATGAGATGGGGGCAGAGAGTCTGTAAAAACATTAGAAAGTGTGTTGTTCCTCTAACATGATGAGAGCTTTGGAAGAAAGGCATTATGTAAATCCCAAGCAGAATGATCAGTTTATTGGTTGATATAGTAAGTACTGCAAGTATAAGAGCCTGGAGCTGTCAAATATTAAATGAAAATTGTTTGGGGTAAGCAAAGATTGTGTTAAGCCAATCACCCTAATTCCCCACATCAAACTCCCCACAATTGGCTCTGGGATAGGTAGGTGATCCAAGTTCTTTCAGAATAAGCCTTGGGTGTTAGTTTTCTGGATGGGAGAAAGAGACTGTCTGTTTCTGGCTAGTGTGACTATAGATGTGAAGCATGGATCTGCTACAGCCAATACAGCCAGTCCAGACATGCCTTGCCATGACACCAGCCAAAGAAAATGATGATGTACCTAGGAGGCATATATCAAAGAAATGGATCCAGAACCTTGGTTGTGGTGCCCCGGAAGCTCTAGCTTTAAAGAGTTTAGTTAAATAAGCCAACGGATTCCAGTTATCATGTAAGCCAGTTTGAGTTGGGTTTTCCATCAAAATAGTTGCAACTGATTTTTGGCTTGTGTGCTAAAACATCCAGGTTGAGAGGCTCAAACAATGTCAGCAGAAATTTATCTCTAATTTCATCTCTGCCTGCTCTGTGTTGGCTTCATTTTCAGATAGGCTCTCCCAGTATGGAGTTGCTCCTGGCTTACATCCCACTAGTTCAACAACCTGATGGGAAAAGAAGTGTTTTTTCCCGAGTGGTTTCTACAGAAGTCCTAGTCTTGAATCTCATTCTCTTGTCTAGAATCCTGTGCTCATTCCTGAAGCAATCACTGTGAACAGAGAGCAGTCCTCTAACTGGCTCCGCAGTGGTTCTACTCCCACCCCTGGAGTGGTCGGGGGGTGGGGGGGGGGAGGTAGACTCGCTCCTCTCAGCCTATTTAAATTCTTCTCAAGAGTTTGATTTTGGAATCAGGACTGGGTTTTCCCAGTTACTTTTTTGTTACTTTTTTAGCTGTTTGATCATGGGCAAATAGTTGAATGTCTCTGAACTTCGTCTGTAAATTAAGGACGATGGTGATCTCAACTCAGTGTTGTTATGAAAGGGAAGTGAGAATAATTATGCAAAGTATTTGCACAGTATTCACTATTTTTTGGTTATTGTTATTATTACTATATCCCAATTCCTAAGGGGAGGCATTCAGTACCTCCACTTCCAGAAGTCTGCTCTGATCATTCTCACATGATTTATAAGGAAACTACCTCCTAGAAACTCTCACAGCCCTTTCTCTTATGATTTTCTATATGGTGTTCCTGTTTCTGCTTATGTTCATGACTCCCCTGCCCTTTTAGATTTCTGGCCCTCAGAGGGGCCGGGATTGTTTTACCTCTGTATATTAATAAGAACTAGGACTTTATACACTTCAAAGCATTTCCTCTTCAACCTTATCATCTGAACCATAGTGCAATTCCAGGAGGCAGGAGGGATTATTGTTCCTAGATGGGGAAACTGAGACCTTAGGGGCGCAGTGACATGCCCAAGCTGCAAATTGGTGGATAAGAAGTTAGGTATTTCTGGGGCCTCCCTGGTGGCGCAAGGGGTTAAGATGCAACCTATGAAGCTGTCCACAGCCACTGCAGCATGAGTTCGATCCCCAGCCAGGGAGATACCCACATGGTGCAGCAAATTCTCCTGACTTGCCAGCTGCTCCCCTCAGCTGGCAAATACACTGCTCCCCAGTGTATTTCAGTCAATCTGCCTGTTCTGTTCCCCACTCTATCTCTGGTGAATCTTCTCACTCCCCCACACCTCTGGCCTGTACCCCAGTTCTTGTATGCATAAATAAATAAATCTTTAAAAAAAAGTTAGGTATTTCTGGATTCTTACCACGGGACTCTTTATGTTGGACAAATAGCTTTGAATCTAGACTTCAAATCTTCAGTGACGATCCCTGGGACTCCTTCTGTACATTTATTGGGTGATTCTTTTCACTAGCACATGGTCTTTCTTTTCCTGCTATGCTTCTCCCCTCCGTCCCTAGCCCCAGAGACATCCCTGAAGTACACAGCCTCTTTCTGCTTCTGAAATACACCACTCCAGCCAACCTCAATCACTCTGCCTCATTATGCATCTGGAATCACCTTCTAAATCCTAGGAAGGACAGTGGAGAATGTCTGCTCTAGCCTAGTGCTCTGGGAAATATTTGGGCTTGTGCAAAGTATCTGACTTCTCCTGCACCCCCCTCTGCAAGACTGCTTATATGCTCTGGACTCTGCAGAGAGCCTAGAGTTTGAATCTTAACACTGCTGTATGCTGCCTCTGTTTCCTCATTTATAAAAGGGCAATAAATCTGCCAACTTCAAGGCATCCTCAGTTCATCAAGAGGATGAACTGAAAGAAGGAATGCAAAGAGGGTGACATTCTTCAAAGAGGGTTCAGGAAGGAGAAATGACTTGAGGAATGTAGGAATGTCCCCTCTGACCTTGCACATGGGTGGTGATCTTGTGGCCTCAGGAAGCTCTCCCCCACTCCCCAGTCAAGCTCAATTTCTCCAACTCACTTCCAGGGCTGTACCTTAGCTGTCAACACTTTGTCTATATCCAATTCTCTCTCCAAAGCTTGTATCTTATCTCTGGCTATCATAGACTTGCCGGTCTGGGAGGGAGAGGGAATGGGTTGTACGCACAAGAAAAAGCGGTCTGGATCACTCAGCCTCTCCAGACTTCTATATCTTGCCTATAAAATGTGACAATAAGAACACACACCGGAGGGTGAGGCTTTAGTCTAGCACAGTTCAATGTGGTAGCATCTAGCCACATGTGACAAAGCTTGGAAAGGTCTTAAAAGTTAGTACCTTGGTTGGGCCTCCCTGGTGGCGCAGCGGTTGAGCGCTGGGTTGCGAAGCTGCCCGCAGCCTCTGTAGCGCCGGTTCAATCCCCAGCTGCTCCCCGACCACTGGAGGAGGGTCCCACATGGTGCGCAGACCTCTCCTGCCGCCCGCTGCTCCCCTCTGCCTGCTCTGATCCCCGCTCTGGCTCTGGTCAATTCTCTCACCCTCCCACACTTCTGACTGTACCCAGTGCTTGTATAAATAAATAAACAAACAAATAAATAAATAAATCTTCAAAAAAAAAAAAAAAAGTTAGTACCTTGGTCTCATTAGTTACATCTCAAGTGCTTATATGTGGGCAGCACGGCTAGAGAACATTTCTAGCAGTGTAGGAAGTTCTGTCGGGCAGCTCGGGTTTAGACAAACTACGTAAGACACTCAATCTGCATGCAGCGGGACCTGCGTGTCTTGGCATAATTCATCTGGAGTTGCAAACTGTGGGCAGGGGCCACAACTTCATGTACTGCTCTTCCAGAAAACACAGCAAAGAGGAATGTAGGGCTCATGAGGAATGTAGGGCTCATTGAGGGGCTTCTCCAGAATGCAGGTGAGCCACGTTCAAAACAGATTTCTGATTCTTGCTGCAAGGCAGGTACATGAGGCTGAATTCAGTCTCCTGGTGGAGAAAGAGATGAAGAGAAGCAGGAACAGGCAACACATTGAGGGAAGGGGTTTCTAGCATCTAGAACTACTAGTGTTCAACTTTTCAAAGGAAAAATGAGTAGGTGGATTTGCAAACGTGTTAGTCTCCTTCCCCTCCTCCCACTCTTCCCTTCCTTTCCTTTCCCCCCTTTCCCTCCTTGTCAGTCTCTCCTCTCCCCACCTCCTCTTCTCTCCCTCTTATATTTTTGCCGGAAAAGGGAGCGCTAGATCCCAGCCAGTGAGAACAGAAGGAATGCTGTCTTCCATCTGGTCCCTTCACAGGGAGGAAGAATCCAAGTAATTTGCTTAAGTTACGTGTGAATGAGGGCAGAGTGGGACTTGCGGACACAAGTCCCCTTAAAAGCAGAGCTTGGCAGGTGTAGTATTCACCTGGGGCCTTCTGGCCCACCTAGCGAGATCCCCTCTGTCCCCAGACCTTGCTGTGAGGGGTCTTTGCTGACTCCCACCCAGACTGGAGCAGATTAGTCAGCTGTGATGTGCCGCAAGTGCCTCTAGTGTCCGCTGTGTGCAGCACCTACTTGACACATAGAGGGTCCTTGTTGACCTAAAGGGAAGAGGTGATTCCTCTTGTTGGGGTGAGCCTGTAGGAGGGGTGTCTATAAGTTCCTCATGTGAGGAATTTACAATGAGCCAGGGGCTGCACCTTTTTAATCACCCCATGGGCATCTAGCAAAGCCCAAACACCCCTTCTCAGAACTTTTGGGTATGCTGCACTGAGATATAACACATATATGAAAAAGGCGCGCATGTAAGGTGTACATCAGTGAATTTGCACAAAGTTAACACACTTGGGACCCCAGCGTCCTGCTCAAGAAACTGAACTTGACCAGCGTCCCAGCAACGCCATGCCCCTTCTAGGTGCCACCTCCTGAGAGCAGCCTTTCTCAGAAATAGTTTCCAAGTGCATACAGCAAAGGCTAGCACGTGAGTTTTTGCAGAGAATGAGTGTGGGGAGGGAAGCTCCTCTGTGGAGGGGGAAGGCCGTGAGGTGTGTGTGGAGTTGTGGGGGGTGTGTGTGTGTGAGAGAGAGAGAAAGAGAGAGTGTGTGAAGGCTGTCGAGTGCGTGGGTTCGAGACTGAATTTGCCAGGGTTTGTGTGGCGGTGGGGAGGCTGTCGGGACGCGTGTGTGGGGAAATCCGGCGTAGGTCGCGGGGTGCTGTCGGGGTGCAAGGGCCGCGGGTTCTTGCTCTGGGGTACTTGGGGTAAGGCCGCGGGGGGCGCGGGGGGCGGGAAGTCGGTGGGACGGGGGCGGGGCCGCAGGAGGGCGAAGGGGCGGGGCCGGCGAGCGCGCGCACGCAGCCGGCGCGCCCCCTCCCGGCCGCCATGTTGGCTGGTGTGTGGGTGTCAAATCGAGCTAGACGCGGCGGCGGCTCCGCGGGCTGCGGTCGCTCCCGCCTTTCCAGCGCCACTGGCGGCCACAGCCGCGCACCCGGGCGGGCCCGGAGGAGCGGAGGTGAGCCGGGGCCTGCGGGGCTCGGGGGTCAGAGCGGGACCCCAGGACGTGGACCCTCCCCCTCCCCAGGGCGCGACGCCCCCACAGCGAGGCCCCTTCCCCAGTCGGCCCTCCCAGAGATTGCACACACGCTGCCGGAGCTGGGTCCCTCGTTCAGGCGGGACCCGGTCTTTCCGGCCAGGCCCCGCCCCACGGGCTGGAGCTTGGCCCCCTCCCCATCTGGATTCCTCTATCCGCTGCAGGGCCCCCGCCCCCCACCTCTCCATCACAGAGTACTACCTTTTATAACCTTGGAGTCTGTTATTCCCCTTAACCCCACCCCAGATCCGGGAGCCCCCTCCAGCCCTTTACCTTCTACCTTTAGCTTGGAACAAGCCTGCCGCGTCTCTCCAGAGCGCTTTCCACCCCTCCCCGGGCTCGGCGCCCCTTTCCTCCAGATCCGCCCCCGCGCAGAGCCCAGGCCCTGTTCCCTCTACAAATTTGGGGAGGGGGCCGCTCGGTCCAGGATCTCCGCCCGTCCCCTAGTTCCTTCGACCTGAAACGGGGCCCCCTTCCTCTCCCCAGGGATCAGGTTCTCCCTCCCACCCCCTACCCCCACAGCGCAGCGGGGACGGGGGCGGCAGAGCCAGGCTCCAGCTGCCTTTTGTTCCGCGTGGGATGGTGGAGACCCCGCCCGGCGGACCTGCGCGGCTAATCCGGGTGGGTGAATGGGTGCGTGGGGGTCGGCCTCTTCCAGGAGACCCTCTTCCTCTCTCTTCTCTAGGGGCGGCTCCCCAGGAGTCGAGTGCTGGCCCTTGGGAGAGGCTGGCCCTTCCTAGAGGAGTCTGTGCCAACAGGTTTTTGTTTGCGACCTGAAGTTGGCCCAGTGGCTCTGCGGATGTGAGTGTGTGAGTGTGTGTGTGTGCGTGTGTTGGGGTGGAGATGGTGGAGGAGCAACTTGCTCCTCTTAGAAACCCCAGCTGGGTCCTGTGAAAGCCCATTCCTTGGCCCAGGGGCTCCCTCTGGGCCCCTCCACATTGTTTTAGCCCTGGGGACACATCTGAAGCCTGTGATTTAAGAGAGAATGGGACTTTACCATTATTAGGGTTCAGATGGGAGAAACTGAGGGCAGGAGATGCTGTGATTTGCCCAAGGTCATGCAGCCATACCACATCAGTGCCAAAACTAGACCCTCAGTCTCTAGGGCGCTCGGGTGCTCTTCACGACATTTTGAAATTTTTTTTTGTATTTAGAGAGATGTTCAGATTTATTCCCCTCTTGTATTTTTTTATATTCACACAAGAAAATGGGCAGGAAAAGATGAGAAGTATGAATTCTTCCTTTCCATCGCCAGAAAATGCCCTGTGAAAGAAGGGGTTGGAACAAGGGGTTAAAAATGATTGAAAAAGGTGAATTTTAATTGCCCCCCCTTAAGTATGATAATGAGGATTTGTCAGAAAATAATGTGCTTCTTAAGGCTCTGGATACTGGGTTATTGGTGCTGACAAAAATCATATTCTGAATTCTACACAGCAGTGATTGAGATTTTACCGATAATTAAGTTTTCATCTGTATTTAAATGAATGTCAAAAGGAACTGTAATTTGCTTCTGAATGTTCATGTTCCAGTGATTGTGTTTGGAGACACCACTAAGATCATCTCACCTTTTATTTATCTTTTTTTTTTTTTTTTGCATTTTTAAAACTTACTTGTTTCTTTAGTTTTAATGTTGGGTTAGTCATCTTTACCAGTTCTGGGCTATTCTCTTGTAGGCACTGAATGAGATCCTGGCTTTTAAAGAGTGTAGTAAAGTGCAAATTACTGTAAGGAATGGCAAGACTTTATCACACAAGCCTCTGGACTGGAGCAAGTTTGGATTTACTGATCTTATGGTTTATCCAGGTGTTTTGCCTCTCAGAACCTTGAACTTGTCAGATGGGAAGTTGTGGAGAACTCTCTTAGCAAGGTTGTTGTACCAGGTATATTGTATAGGGTGTGGAGAGATGTAATATTTTCAGGTGATGATACCTTACATGGTGTGTGTGTCTTGAAAAATGACCCAGCCTTTGCAGAATCCTCTGTAGAAATAAAGTTACCTCTTTATGTAACTGTCTTCTATAAAATATTGTGGTGTGGATTTCCTGAGGGTTGGGATTCTGATAAGAGCCCTGCAAAAATAATTGAAAAGTTTTTGGGCCTCTGATTTGTTTTAAAGACTTGGCTCTTCCTGAACTTAAGAGTGGGCATTTACAATTTTTTTTTTTTTTTTTTTAGATTTTATTAAGAGGAGTGACAACTTGCAGGTCTCTGTGGACTAAAGTGCTAAGAGATTTTCATGCTGAGGGATTATCATTGTGATTCTCTTGGGAACCATATTAAAGTTTCCAAAGCTTTTTGGGCAATTCTTGCTGTTCCCTAACAGCAGTGGATTGATTGCTGGAGTGTGTCTGACTATGGTTGTCATTTTGTGGTGTGAGTACCTGGTGACCTTAAGCCTTGTAGAAATCAAAGGACTTGGATTTGAGGAATTTGAAATTGGGGAGTATAAGAGGAATTATTTAGTTGTATTTTTCCATTTTTTGGTCTTTGAATAAACCTTCTGGCAAGCCTTTGCCAATAACCAATTCCATCAGTATTTGGACCTCTCTGTTTTCCAAGCCTCACCAACCCAAACAACCTGTTGGAGCACTTACTACTGTCTTCTGTCTTTCTTTACTTCTCCAGCACCCAGCTCAATCTCTGATACCTGGAGAGACTCAGTCTGGGGTGTGTATCAGCAGCCCTGGAGCAGGGGAACCAATTTATCCATCCTTTACTACAGGCTCCCCTGTAGGAACCACTGCTGTGGGTCCAGCAGTCCTATCAGTGTGTGCATTATTCCCTTTCTACATTGAGGAAACAGGCCCAGGGGCTTAAGTCTTACACCCAAGTTCACGTAGCCAATTGGTGATGGAGCTGGAATCTGTCAAGTCTGTGGGATTCCTGAATGTTATACCTGTTACCTCGTTTGAGAAACTGACTCTCATGAAGCTGAATACACTTGCTTAAAGCTCTACTGCACAATGACAGTGACTGATTACCATGGGAATCTTAAAATTTTAAGAGTAGGAGAGAACACATCTTGTTTTTGTGAGATGCATTGTGAAATGATTGTTTATGTCCATCTTGAGTTTTGAAAATCTACAAACTTTCTGATAAGTTCATCAATGGAATTTTCTTTGGCTTCAGTTTGTTCAAGATGTCTAAAAATTGAAAGCTAGGAAAACAGATACAGTGAAATAAGTGTCCATGTGTTGAGTGTATTCAGTAACATCCATCTGTGAACTTGTTTGACCATACATATTTTCCTGGTTATGTTTCCGATGTCTTGAAATTCAGTTGTTTTAACAGCCTTTTAAAAAACATAATTTCATTTTGTCTTTATACCCATGTATAACATAGAGATTACCACCCATCTGTGAGTGGAAAAACTGAGAATAGAGACGTCTGATAGGCACCAGATCTGTGTGATTCCCAAACCTGGATCCTTCCTGCTCCCCCAGTTCATATAGAAAGCTCCATAGTATATATAAATGGGTGCTCTTCAAATGTAGAGGATAAACTTGTGCTCTGAAAATCACCACCAAGCTTTAGAAGACTGGGAAATGTGAATGTAGAGATTTCTGTCTTTTTCCTAACCTTACGATCTGTGAAAGCACTGCATTTTGAGTGTTAAGAAATTAATGAACCACTCATACTGATAGAGACTAGATTTAGGTTTAAAAAAAAAGTGGGGGCCCTTCTTTGAATCAGATCAGCAGCATTGTTATCATGTTCCCTGTACTGTATTGGATTCTTTTTGGTGACTCCTGCCCAGCAGAGCCAGGTACTAGAGCCTGTTTTGTTCCTGGGCACAGAAAAGCCTTCCTGTGAGTCCTGGTCTAGTGTGTTGCATTTTCAATCCCTCTGGAGACAGGACAGGTAACTAAATGACTTCCTTTACTATTCAAAACATTGGTAGGAATTGGTTGCAGAGAGGGCTATAAATGTAGAGACTCCCCATGTTCTCTTTATGGTAACTAGCTGATAAATGGAACAGGGAAAAGCAGGCTCAGCCCGAGGGATGGCTGGCCATTTAGGCTGATGCATGATACAGATTTAAAAGCATCTATAATTAATTACTTTTGAGTGCAGGCCTCACCCTCCCATCCCCATGCCTTTTAGGGAAACGTCATCATCACATCGTGGTGGTTCAGTAGCTGAGAGCACCAAATGGTAAAGACAGTTTGGTTACAAAGACCATATTGAATCAGATGTAGGTACAAATTGGCCTCCTGGCTGGATGGCTTTGGGGACTTTAATCACTAAATTTCAGTTTCGTCATTTGTAAAATAACCACACTGCAGAATAGATTGGCAATGTTTCTCAGACTCCATCACTGGGATAGCATGACAATCACCCAGAGAGCCTGTCAGACAAATTGACAGCTCCATCCCCAGAGTTTCTGATTCAGTAGAACTGGGGTGAAGCTTGATAATGTGCATTTTCAGCCAGTTTCCAAGTACCAGCTAGTCCTGGTACCATTTTTTTAAAAAAAAGATTTATTTATTTATGCATACAGGAGCTGGGGTACAGGCCAGAGATGCAGGGGGATGAGAGAATTCACCAGAGACAGAGCGGGGAACAGAACAGGCAGACTGACAAAATACACTGCTGAGGGGAGCAGCGGGCAAGTCAGGAGAGGTCTGCTGCGCCATGTGGGTTGCTCCCTGGCTGGCCGGTGATCGAACTCGCGTTGTAGAGGCTGTGAATTGCTTCATAGTGCGGTGCTTAACCCCTTGCACCACCAGGGAGGCCCCTTCTGGTACCATATTTGGGAGCTCTGGCTCATGAGAAGAAGAAGCCATGTAAGATGTCAGCACTGCTGGCTGTGGATGGAGACTCAAAACTGCAGTTCCTTTCTGCCTCTGAAATGCTTCTGAATATGTTGCTCAAGATAATGGCATGACACTTGGAAAGGGAATTTGGTTTCTCAAAGAGGT